TCAGTTCTGACTCATAGCGACCCTATAGAGAGTTCCTGAGGTGTAGTTGGTGGGTTGGAGTGGCTAACCTTGGGGTGAGCTGTCCAGTGCTTATCCTACAGCACCACACCAGGACTCCAATGCAGATTATGTTGCGGTTGCTAAGTGCTGTCAAGTTAGTTCCAACTCATCACAACCTTATATAGGGTATCAGAAGGAGCTCTAGTAGAGAAGTCATTACGAGTCCGACTGCTAACCTCAAGGTCAGCAGTTCAAAACTACCAGCCGTTCTGTGAGAGAAAGATGAGGCTTTCTGCTTCTGTAAAGATTTACAACCTTTGAAGCTCTATGCAGGGTCGCTATGAGTTGGAACCAACTTCAAGCACCTTGCCACCATAAGGTATCAGAGGAGCAGCTCATGGGTTTGAACCGTGGACCTTGCAGTTAGCAACCCAGTGTTTATCCTACAGTGCCAACGCACTGAACGTTAAGTGCTGTTGAGTCAGTTCCAACTCAGTGACCCTGTGTAGGGTTTCCAAGGAGCAGCTGGTGAGTTTGAACTGCCTTCCTTGCAGTTAGTAATCCAGTGCTTATCCTACAACACAATACCCGGGATCCACCATTAAGAGCATGCCCAGGCAAACCTCTGAGGGAGACAGCTCCTCACTGGCCTGCTCAGGAAATGGCCTTAACCCACATTCAAACACATTCTGCCTGACGGTATAGCTGCTTCTGTCTGCTGACAGCAGAGTAAAGTTCAAAAGACCAAGACTGAGCTTGTGTCAGGGCTAAGATGAGGTTAGGGACCTAACTGTAAGTCTCTAGGTCACAGAATGCCTTTAGATTTCAGGATTTAACTCAAGGTAAAATCTCACTTGAACCTCTGGCCATTCAATTCCAACTAACAGCAACCCTAGGACAGACTTGAATTCTCCCATAGGGCTTCCAAGGTTGTTGTAGCTTTGCTAATGGAGTCCTGGTGTGGTGCTGTGGGGTAATTTCTCAGGACTGCAAAGTTGGTTTGAACTGCAATGTGGGTGGTTCAAGCTCACCAGCCACTACTCAGAAACCCTATACAGTTCACTATGCCATGGAAATAACTCTAGAGAACTTAACAACAGTCTTTGTTTTTGTTTTAACTATTTTGTCATTATTATTAAGAAATGTACACAGCAAAACATACAGCAATTCAACAGTTTCTTCTTTACTGGCATTACTACTATTTAGTGACTTTGATTTATTTCTATTCCTTGAGATTTGCAACCATTCTGGCCTTTTTTACCACTGAGTTTTCCTCCCCATTAGCATAAATTCAGTGTCCCCTAAGGCTTCTATCTCATTTGCAAGTTGTTGTTGTTGTTGTCTGAAGGACCACTGCTTGGTTCTTACTCACAGCAACCTGTACAAGAGTTGTGGAGTGGTGCTGTAAGATAAGCACAGGACCCCAAGGTCAGTTTGAACCACAAGGTTTGTTGTTGTTGTTAGGTGCCAT